CGAGGAGAAAATGAAATTCTATAAATCAGACTTAGCACAAGGCCTGCTACTGTGGTCATAATGTGGTGAGGGCTCGGTAAAAAGCAGCTCTCGTCATTGAACATTTCGCTGTGGGAAAGGCTGCCTCATCCTGCCCAAAAGCCCAGAGTAGAAGGGAAGCAGAAGCCAAATGCTTGGGGGAGCAAACAGGAAGACGGTTTTGACATAAATCCCAGAACGAAGAACCACAGAATGGGGATTTATTTAGCCTTTGGAAAACTAGAATTTTTTGTACGTATGCTGCTGCTAAATGGCAGAAAGCAAGTGCAGCATATGGTCCCATGTGGTGAGTGTGGAACACAGTGGGATGTGAGGGTGTCGAAACTTCCAACGGGCTCAATGCCTGGTGACAGGGCAGCACGAACAGGTATGGGAGTACTCTGAGAGAGCTGAGATTGACAAGCTGGAGATGAGTAATACTGGGAGTAAAGGGACAGTCCTTTCCTAATTTCTCCTGCCTTGTACTGCTTTCTCCACCTGCAGTAAATCCCTTCAATCTCAGCATGTCAAAATTACGGCCCTCCGCTGAGGCTCAACTCTCTGGACCACTTTTCAGATAACCCCCTATTAGACATAACTTCCCTACCACTTGCCACTTTTGCCCTTGCATCTGGAGCTTTGGTTAAATAACTCTTTACTCTTATTAGACTACTGATGGTTAACTCTGTCTTTTAAAAAAATTTTTTTAGATTTATTTATTTACTTTTAGAGAAAGGGGAGGGAAGGGAGAAAGACAGGGAGAGCAATGTCAATATGCAAGAGATACACAGGTGGGTTGCCTTCCACATGCCCCCAACTGGGGACCTAGCCCACAACCCAGGCATTGTACCCTGACTGGGAATTGAACTGGCAACGTTTTGGTTTGCAGGCTGGCTGTCAGTGCACTGAGCCACACCGGTCAGGGCTAACTAACTCTGTCTTTATCTCCATGTTTCATTGATGAATTCTGAGTATTCAGCAAGGATTATAGAATGAATAAGAAAAGAACCTTATTTCACCCATTTAGAGGGTAGGTATCCTATCCTCTGTGTGGAAAAACCACCAGCTCCTGGACCTCATCTTGGATTCTGCCATCAGGTTGGATCTTTAATGAGGACAAAACAATGTTCTTATGGGATAGGGCAAAGAAGTAGCAGAATATGGCCAGATCCTCTGACTCACCTTGGAAGAAGGGGACTCAGAAACAAGGAAGGAAAGGAGTGGCTCCAGGTGGGATGTAAAACAATTATTTATTTATAGGTAACTCTTCAGAAACTTGTCAGATATGGGGTTTTCCCCTCACACCCATCTTCAGCAAGGCATTCAGTGCCCCCTGGGAAGAGGGAATCATTGTTCCAGAATGGGGTTCATCTTCCTTAATCTCAGCTGAAAGAATCAGTGACGCCCCCCCGCAGGTCCTTCCATTCTCCCACATGTATTTTTTACTTTTTTAAAGTTCTTAGTTTATTAATCCTCTCATGAAAAATCTGCACAATCACCACAGATGGTTACTGAAGAACATTTACTCCTGTTGTCCAGTCTCCACTTTTTGCAGAGCCAGCACTGGCCTCTGCAGCCCCTCTTTCTTTACCCTAGTCTTACGTTCCTTTTCCTGTTTTCTTGAGGTCTTTTTCCTCTCATACAGGCCATACCTTGTATGTCTATGGGTTCATTTCTCTTTGTGTGATCCCAGGAATCATGCCAAAGCCAGTTGTCTTGCCAACACCAAAATGGGTTCTGAATGCAAATACAAAGATGACACCTGATGTGGTCTTACATGTCTTGGCTAGTTTTGCCTGGATTTCTGCCTTAGGTACTGTTGCCTTCCCAGAGTGAAGGACATCAATGGCCATTTGTTTCCACTGAAGAGGCGTACTGGTCATGGACTTCTGGATCCGGACAGTTCCTGTGTTTTTCCTGATGGCAGCTGATCTTTAAGCAGCCAGGAAGGAAAAAAATAGGCTTTAACTTTCTTAACCCAGAGTTTCCCATAATCTCACTCCCTTTCCAGAGATTCCTATGTGCTCCTCCCTACCATCCTTCTCACCTGAAGCTGGGAAACTGTCTTAGGCACAAGGTAAGTGTATGGATGTCCCAGTTGCATCCACACACTTTGATGCTGGTGATGCTGGTTCCTGTGCCCCCAAAGGAAAAAGAGGGAGCAGAGGACACTCCTAGTGATAGGGTGGGATGGAACTCAGTCACTTGGGGAAGAAGACTCCTTTTCATCTCTTCCCCTCAAGTCTGCCCTTCCATCTCATTCTCAAATCTTTAGGGGAAAAGAGAGAGGAGAGAGACATCGCTACTTCCTCACTCCCCAGTCCAAACCTCTGTCCCAACAGGTAAGCAATTTTTTATTTGTCATCTTCTTTTTGTGTCTTCTTCAGATCCCAGGTTCTCCAGCCAGGCCTGGGGATATCATCCTCCTGGCTTGTTTCCCTCGTACTTTCTAATTCCTTGGAGACTGTTCTCAGAGAGCTGAGCCCCACTGTCATGAGACTCAAGGGGTAGGGAGTTGGGAAAGAGCAAGCAGTGTGTCAGTCGACATTCATGCAGTGACATTGTGGCTCTTCACATGTTCACTCCTTCCTAGTCCTGTGTTTCTCAGGCTGAGACCTGGGGGAATCTACATACCCTTGGATTTCTCTTTGGGGACTTCTGAGTCCTCTTTTAAAACTTGAGTTTTGTGTTTTCATTTTGATGGGTCATCTTTTAAAAAATAAAAATATTCATTCTGGATGATTTGGATTACTTTTTTTTTTTTTTGGAGTTTCAGCACCTATGTTTGCATTGGGTTTTATAGTCATTATGGTGATAAGAGATCACCCCAAGAGCCAAAGTTGACCAGTTAATGCAGTGTTTCTCAATGTATGGTCTATAGATGTGTTCTCAGAGCTTCACTTCTAATTCATTCTTTAGATGCCAGCAAAAATATCTCATCCTCAAGGGATATTCCCTTATCCCTCACTCACTGCCATAGCACCTCACACTTCTTCATGGCACTGCAATTGCTTATTCTCCTGTGCCAGACTGGAAGTTCCATGAGAGCAGGAACTGTCTGTCTCACTCCCCTATGTATCCCCAGTACCTAGCATGTTGCCTGGAAAACATAGCAGGTGCTTGACAAATACTCATTGAATGAATGAATGAGTAGATGAGACACAAAAGACAAGTTCCCTGCCCTGCAGCCTGTTCCAAAGGAAACACACACACACACACACACACACACACACACACACACACATTGCAAAACAATACATTCGTAGCAGAATATAGTTCCTTTAAACTGAAAGAAGCTGATCTTTGAAGGGTCATTGGAGTGGCCATCTTAGCTAGGGCACATATAATACAAATTAGCAATTTTTGTCCGGGGATTAGGGTGCAATCAAACCTTTTGTGACTCATTCTAGATCTCCTGCCTTTCCCAGAAACCCCTGAAATGGAAAGAGGAAGAAACAGGGAGAAAAGACAGCTTAATTTTTGATGGGAGCCCAGGGATTCCAAGAATCAGAATATTTACCCATAGGAGGAAGGAGGTGTCAATGTACTGAGGTGACTCTGGCCCAGAACCCAGAAATAAAACTTGAAAAAAAGGCCTAGGTTAGTGAGTCTCAACACAAAACAGGGAGTGGACTGTTTTGACACACCATCTGTGGATTATGAAACTATCTTCCATCCTGGCTGTCCTGACATGGCCCTTGTAGTCTGGGGCACAATCTAGGGTGTTAAAGACCAAAATAAAGGAGCCAAAGTGAGGTTTGGAGAGTGAGATTCTCCTTTCCCAAAGAGCTGTGGTGGCCCAGGCTGTGCAGTGTGCCGGAGAAGCAAAGCTGAACCACAAAGGAATTTACGTCTTCTATTAGGAGGAGGCCCAGTTCTCCACTGATAATACCAAGTGGAGCAGGTTATACCAGTTATGTGTGCAAAATATAGGATGCATTGAAGGGGCACAAAGCAAGGCGTGAAGGGAATGGGGTGAGGTTATTCTATAAAATCATGCAATTCAAAGTGTGGTCCACGGAGCAGCAGCAGCAGAATCCAAAAGCTTGTATTAAAAGTGCAGAATCACAGGGTTCATCCAACTTTCTAAATCGCGACTGCAATTTAAGTTCCCCACGTGATGTATAGTCAAATCGAAATTTGAGAACTAAGATTTCTTGAGGAAAAGGAGCTCGGCACTGGTTGATGTGGCTCAGTGGATTGAGCCCCGCCCTGCCTGTAAACCAAAAGATCACTGGTACGATTCCCAGTCTAGTGAACATGCCTGGGTTGCGGGTCAGGTCCCTATTGGAGGGCGCGCGAGGGGCAACCACACGTAGATGATTCCCTCTCTTTCTCCCCCATCTCTAAAAACAAATAAATAAAATGTTAAAAAAGAAGAAGAAGAGCTTGAAGTCCATGATGAATATGAATGAAACAGTCAGAAGGCTCAGGCGATCCCCTAAGGAAACAGGGCCAGATGAGAAAACAGCCTGAAACTTTATCTTGGAGCACCCTGGACTGAATGGGCCAAGGAGCAGACGGCGGCCTCTGACTGGAAGCTCCAAACAAAAAGATGAAGTCAACAGCAAAGGGCCTGAAGTAGCCAGAAAAAAGGACGACTGGGCGGCTGTCGCTGTCGTCCACCACCAGCTCCATCATTCGCTACTCTCCGCATTTGCCCCAGTCTCGCTTCCCAGCACTCGGTCAGACTCAATAACGTAGTGAGCCGCGCTCGTCTAGCTCGGTTCGACTGGGACTAGTTCGGTTGCTAAGGCCTGGAGCTTTCCGCTTGATTGGGGGAAGTGATGTCACGCCCAAAAGGCGGGCTAACCAGACGTTTCCGGCCTCCGGATTGGCTGCCAGGGACTGGAGTGGGTTCACCGCCTCTAGGGCACCAGAATTAACTGTTAGCGTCCCTACCCCTTGGCCTCTGTTCCGGCAGTCCTCACCGCCTGCGGCAGGACTCCGAGGGCAGCACGCAGTGAGCGCTTTGCCTCGGAAGGATAGACAACCCGAGTGGTTCGGCCATCGCCACCCGGCTAGAGTTTTCGGCAGCCCAGAACTTTTTGGACTCGATCAGTGTCCGTACTTGGGGCAGCTCCCCGAACCGCAGGGAATTGTGGAATTTATAGTTCTGGATTCGTCTGGGTGGAACCCAGGCTCCCACAGGATTTTTGGAGGAAAAATAAATAAATGAGGACCTTGAGGACCGGGTTGGATCCAGAAAGACGGGAAAGGAATCTAAATAGGAATCCTGACAATTAGCGTTGTTTTGATTTTTTTTTCCCCCAGGTGCCGATCTGAACCTAGTCCATCATCCCTTTCCGACCCAAACTGATTACCCACGAGGGAAGGGGCCAAGCAGCAAAATGGAGACGCCACCAGTCAACCCAATGGGAGAGAAAGACGCCTTTCAACAATGGGGAAAGAATCCCAAGAACCACCTTGATTCAACTATTCAAATTAGGCAGCAGGCCCAAGAGCCTCCTACTGAAGTTCTTGAGCTGAGAATGAGCCCAGATCCAGCCAGCAAAATTCTAGAGAATCCTCAAGGGGCTGAAAAACTGGCTGTTGGTCTTGAAGAAAACTCTGTTAAATCTCATGGATCAGCTAGTGAGATGCCAGAGCCCCTCCAATCTTCTGATCTCTGGTACTGTCCGGATGGGAGTTTTGTCAAGAAGATTATAATCCGTGGCCATGGCTTGGACAAACCCAAGCTGGGCTCCCGCTGCCGGGTACTGGCTTTTGGGTTTCCTTTTGGGTCAGGGTTGCCAGAGGGCTGGACAGAGCTAACTATGGGGTTAGGCCCGTGGAGGGAGGAAACCTGGGGAGACCTCATAGAGAAATGCTTGGAGTCCATGTGTCAAGGTGAGGAGGCAGAACTTCAACTCCCTGGGCACTCTGGACCTCCTGTCAGGCTCACACTGGCTTCCTTCACTCAGGGCCAGGACTCCTGGGAGCTGGAGGCCAGCGAGAAGGAGACCCTGGCCAGGCAAGAACATGCAAGGGGCACAGAATTATTTCGAGCTGGGAACCCTGAAGGGGCTGCGCGATGTTATGGACGGGCTCTTCGGCTGCTGCTTACTTTACCCCCACCTGGCTCTCCAGAACGAACAGTCCTTCATGCCAATCTGGCTGCCTGTCAGTTGTTGCTAGGGCAGCCCCATTTGGCAGCCCAGAGCTGTAACCGGGTGCTCGAGCGGGAACCTGAGCATTTAAAGGCCTTGTACCGCAGGGGAGTTGCCCAGGCTGCCCTTGGGAACCTGGAAAAAGCAACTGCTGACCTCAAGAAGGTGCTGGTAGTAGATCCAAAAAACCGGGCAGCCCGGGAGGAGCTGGGAAAGGTGATCTTTCAGGGGAAGAAACAGGATGCAGGGCTGGCACAGGGTCTCCGCAAGATGTTTGGCTGATTAAAAGTTAAACCTTGCCCTGGCCGGATGTTTCAGTTTGTCGGTTCGTCGTCCTGTATGCCAACACTTTGAGGATTCGATCTTGGGTCCAGGGGCATTCTGGAGGCAACTGATCGACGTTTGACCCTCATATCAATGCCCTCTCTCTCTCTCCCTCTCTTTTCCTCTCTCTCTCTCAAATCAATAAACATATCCTCAGGTGAGGACTTAAAAAAAAAGGTTAAACCTTAAAAGAGACAGGAATCAGAATTGTGGTCTGTGCAGTGAGAATTGGGAGGGAGGGGCCCAGAGGATTTCAGATGTATCTCATCCCCGGCATTTGCCTTCCTGGGGGAGGTAGCAGCGCGATCGCTTTCCTTTTTTACCATTAAAAAGGCATGGGCTACATATGTTTTGTTTTAAGGGGCTTAGCCATTTCTGGTGATGAATAGGACTGACGGGAAGATGCCAGACCTTTAAATCCTGTGAACTACATGTCCTGGAAGCTTTCACGCTGGGTCCGGCTTTGCACACACTTAAGAGCTACGGCCGGTGCAGTGTCCCTCCTCGTTCACCGCCTCTTCCTCTCGTGCTCCCATTGGTTCAGCCTGTAGAGCCGCCTCTTCTATTGCGGCATATGTTCAGCATCCAGGTCTCTTACTGGTCATAAGAGCTTTCGGGACGCCCTACTTTTTGAAAAGTCAACGGGATTAGTTGTTGACGGGAAGAGGTGGGCCTTGGAAACTGTCTCCGGGTTGGTTGGGGGGCGGGGGGAAAAGATGGCGGAGCTAATGCTCCTCAGTGAAATTGCAGACCCGACGCGATTTTTCACCGACAACTTGCTGAGCCCAGAGGACTGGGGTGTGTGGGGTGAGGCCTCGGGGATGGGAGAGGGCTATCTCATACTGTGCCCCTGAGGAAGAGGAGGCCCAAAGAGGAAGTCTGGGCAAATGCAGACTCCACCTTCCCAAGGAGGGCAGCAGGGGTGCCCGTTGTCCTTAAGGGGGTGCAGGAGTTGGGGGAGACTTCCGCTCCCCGCGGAAACGTCGAGCTGTCTGGGATCGGTCGGGAAAGGAGGAGCTGGAGTTGTTCGGCTGTATCACTTTTCAAGTGAGCGGGCGGTGGGTCTGGCCGCAAGGTTTCAGTGAAGGGTGGAGCGAGGGCTGTGGTGGATCCCTAGGCTGGGCCACTAGACAGCACCCCGGACATTCCGCATCTCTTGCAGACTGCACCCTGTACACTGGCCTAGATGAGGTGGATGAGGAGCAGACGCAGCTTTTCCGTTGCCCAGAGAAGGATGTCCCGGTACTGCTCCCCCAGTAGCATTGTCTCTTACCCTCCGTGGGTGGGAGTGGTCCTAGAACCCGGACTCATTCCCAGGCCTGAGCTCGACTGGAAGCACTCCTCCTTCCTCACAGCCCTGCCATCTAATGTCCTCCTTTATTCAGTTTGGCAGCAGCATACTGGACGTGGGGATGGATGTCAGCCCCCCTGAACCCCCGTGGGACCCCCTGCCTATCTTCCCAGGTAGTACCGTTTGTGATTCCCTCATCCTTCCAGAAACCCTCATCTTCCCCGTTTCCCAGAAACTGTACGGTCCCGTGTCCTCACATTTCCCCTGCAGGAGTGCTTTTTAACACTTTCCTTATATGTGTCTCTCTTGCCTTGTCCTAGTGAGGAGGTCCACACCCAAAGTCCTTGGGCACTTTTTGGACCCTTCTCAGATTCTGCTTCCTGCTTATTTTCTAACCTGCTTTTCCTTTAGATCTACAGGTGAAGTCTGAGCCATCTTCTCCCCGCTCTAACTCCTCTCTCAGCTCCGAATCATCCAGTCACTCTACAGAGCCCTCCAGCCAGGTCAGAAAACCATCTCCCTACTTCTATTCTCTGTGGGGAGAACTCTGCGCCATTCCCTTTACCTATAGCTGCTGTGGATTAATTTGTACGTTGGGTAGGGGAGCTCCTTTCCTGCCTTTGTCATTTCTTTGACATTCTCATTTGCTACATCTCCACTCTGGTTTCTAGAAATGAAAATAGATTCTTTTTAGTATATGGAGATATGTGGCAGCTGTGGTGGGGCTGGGAATTCTGGAACTGTTCCTGCCCAGGATGTCCACTCTACAGCAGTGTTTGAAATCATGAGACATCATCAACCCTCCCAGGAATAAAGCAGGAGGAGAGGACCAGTGGGGAGATTCTGAGTACCATTCAAACCAGAATGTCAGATAATTGGTGTTTGTAATCTGTAAAGCCTCTGTTCTTGCTCTTACTCTCAATACCTCTCTTGTTTTCTTTTCTTCTTTCTACCTTCACACTGCACCCCTACTCTCACCCAGACCCCTGGTGTAGGCGAGGTGCTGGTTGTGAAGATAGAGTCCTTGGCACCCCCACTCTGCCTCCTGGGAGATGATCCGCCACCCCTGATCGAAACCGTCCAGATCAATGTGGGCCCCACCTCTGATGATCCCTCAGGTATTAACAGTCTGCCCCCACCCCCAGACTTTACCAGGTAGAATGTGTGTGTGTGTGTGTGTGTGTGTGTGTGTGTGTGTGTGTGTGTGGTGGGTGGGGGCAGGACTGGGAGGATACGGTGGGGAGGGGAAATGGCAGATAACTAGGAGAGAGGCCAGGAGTGGGAGAGAGGATTTTAGGAAACCACAGCAAGGGCAGCACTAAAGAGATGGGTCTTTCTTTATCTTTTTCCTGGTATCCTGTTGTGCGATTTAATTTCCTCTTGCTTTGCATTTTTTTAAAGATTTTGGACAGTTCAGGGCACATTAGTCATTCTTTCACTACAACATTTTATTACTAAAATTTTTTTAAACACAGAAAACTTGGAGCACTATATACTCAACTCCTAGATTCTACAATTAACATTATCTGTGCTATTTTTTTATGTGTTGTCAAGTTTATGTACTCTTAATGTCTTTATTCAGTAAACATATAATGAGCACTTACTCTGTGCCAGGTACTGGACAGAGTGCTGGGGATGCAAAAATGAAAAAGATGTGACCAATACACTGACTTTAGAATCCTGTGGTGTGGTGGGGGGAGAAACAAGTACCAGTCAATCCAGGTGTGGTGCTGGGATAGAGAGCGTCATAGGGTGCTACAAAAGCTCATAAGAGGGGGCATCTCACCAGATTGGGCTGTGCTGCTGGGCTGAGGAAGGGTTTCCTGAGTTGAGTTTTGAAGGACACATAGAAATTAGCCAGAATGAGAATGTGGGGCCTGGCATGTGTGTATGACGAACCCGCATCTCTTCTGAGTGGGCATGAGCAGGGAGTGGGGTTTGGCAAGTTGCTCAGAGGCCAGGTGAGAACCCTGCTGAAGGACTGTTAGCTTCTATCCTGTGGGCAGTTGGGAGCCTTTGAAGAATCAAGCAGGAGAGCAATATGATTAGGAAGGTAACTCTAATGGCAGAGTGGAGAATGGATTGCAACGAAATCCTGGAGGCAGGAGGAGGAGGACCAAGCAAAAGGCTCATGTGGTTAATCAAGTAAGATACTTAGGTGCCAAGAGGAAGGTAGAAAGAATGAAGTAGAATGGATGAGTTGCAGTGACCTCCTGAACATTGTGCAGGAGTCAAAGAGAATGCCTGGGTTTCTGGCTGGGGCAGCCGTCCAGTGGGGGACGGTACTGTTCACTGGATTGTGACCACAAGAGCAGGAGCCCTCTGATGAGCGAGCACAATGAACTCAGTGTTCGACAGGCTGATTTTTTTATTTCAAAGTGCCTTCAGGGTCTCCGGGTGCTGCTTCTCCAACCAGAAGCAAGAGGACAAGGGAGCCCGGTTAGGTAGTCCATTCATGTTTTTCTCCTGGGCCTCATAGGGCAGGGAAGGATGAAGATTGGATTTGTAGGAACAAGCAGGTCATATCCAGCACATTATTAAAAACTATAATAAAGCCCTGGCTGGTGTGGCTCAGTGCGCTGAATGCCAGCGTGCTTACCAAAGGGTCTCCAGTTCGATTCCCAGTCAGGGCCCATGCCTGAGTTGTGGACCAGGTCCCTAGTAGGGGGTGCGCTAGAGCCAACCACACATTGATGTTTCTCTCCTCTCTTTCTCCCTTCTCCTCTCTAAAAAAAGAACAAATAAAATCTTTTTAAAAAATTAAAAGTTACAATGAGGACAAACAAAATAAGGATTGAAAAGCCTTTGTAGCAAAAAGATTGTTGACGACTGTCATCAGGTAGTCATCATGCATATTGGTGTCAGAGTCTCTCCTCTGACTTGTACATTTTGAGGACTTGCACTTGTCACTTTGCTAGACATGAGGCACAAGACATAGGCCTTGCTTTTGAAGAGTCCCTGAGGGTTATAACAGGGTTATAACAAGCTGTTTTTCTCATCCTGCCACCCACCAGATGTCCACACCAAGACAGAACCTGTCTCCCCATCTTCTTCCGTCAACTCTGAGGCTTCCTCGTTCTCAGCAGACTCCCCCAACCAGGCGAGTATCGGTGTCCCATCCTCCCTCCAGGCGTCACAGTGAGTTTCTACTCACTCTCAGAGGTAGGAGAGCTGCTTTAGTTCTTTTTTCTTAACACTTCCAACTCACAAATTTTCTGGAATTCCCTCGACCCCCATAGGCTTTTATAGGAGAGGAAGTACTAGAAGTGAAGACAGAGCCCCCAGCCCCTCAAGGGTGCCTCCTGAGGGATATCCCAGGCCCCCCACTTGGAGCTGTTCAGATCAGAGTGGGTCCATCCTCCGATGGCTCCTCAGGTAATGGGGCCTCTTTACCCTGGAGTTCCTGGCAAAAGGTCTACGGTACTTACATTCTACCCCTCCCTCCCTTCCTTTCACCTTCCATCAGGCAAAGCCCTGCCTGCCCGGAAGCCACCACTGCAGCCTAAACCAGTGGTGATAACCACTGTCCCAGTGCCACCCAACGCCGTACCACCCAGCACCACTGTCCTTTTGCAGCCTCTTGTCCAGCCCCCTCCAGGTACTAAAGGAAAGTAGGAGGTGGGCTGGATTGACCTTCTAAGGGAGCTCAGGGCCACTGAGGCCCTTGGGTACTTAGTGTGGACACAGGACCCTACGTGACTTACAGCTGTCTGACCTCTTTCTCCTGTTCCCGTGCCCCAGTGTCCCCAGTTGTCCTTATTCAAGGTGCTATTCAAGTCCAGCCTGAGGGGCCAGCCCCCACTGCTCCACGGCCTGAGAGGAAGAGCATTGTTCCAGCTCCTATGCCTGGGAATTCCTGCCCACCTGAGGTGG